GTGTGTGTGTGTGTGTGTGTGTGTGTGTGTGTGTCTGATATAATCCGCCAAAAATTCAATCACGCGTGGTTTCTGTCCCTCCAATTAACCATTTAATTCCTATTTCATATATTGTTATGGGTCTAATCACCAAATCAGGCAGGACAGCAGGAGCAGGCTGTGGACTCACGTTGCGCCGTTTACGCGCAGAAAACCGGCAGAATAAAACAAACATTCTGCTGGGAACTATGATTTTTTTAAAAAAAGGGTCGCCTATGTATTTATTTTATTTACTTTTCCCTCCAATTTAGATAAATTTCCTTTAATTTGAATGTACCGTATTTTATTTTTATCTTCTCGGTCTTGCAAATAACAAATTCGCCCTTTTTTATCAGACTTTCTTTTTTATATTTTACACTAGACTTTTTTGCACCCACAATAAAATATGTTGCGTATTTAATAGTTCACACTTTATATCACAGAAGCGAATTAGATGCATCATCCTCCAAAACAATATAAAATAAAATAAAGTCAAATAAAAACAATATTATCGTGGTATCGCGCTAAAGCACAAAAAGAACTCTTATTGCGCAAAAATACCAATTTACTGTTGCGTGACATTTTTAACGACACAAAAAAAATTTGACGCGTAAAAATAAATGTTAAAACAACGCCTGTTTAATAAACAGAATTTTAAATAAATGTCCCTCTAAAAGGCTGCCGAAGTGAAAAAACGAATTTGGATGATAAATTATTTGTGCGTAAAATCTTTAACACCGTTTTCTCACTGTGAGAGATTTTTTGATTTTAAAACGCTGCAGCAGAAAAATCATTTTCGTTGAAAATGCGTCGACATTCATTCAAAACGTAACAGTGCACATAAACCTATACAGTACATATTATTTAGATGGACAGAGCTCCGTTGGAAAAGCTGGATTTGGAGGTTATTTAAATTATAACACAATTCAGCGTCACTCACTAAATAACTTATCCTAATTAATCATTCAATCTGGAGAATAATGCATCGCCTCAGAAGCTTAATTCCAGCGCTAAATATAGATAACTGTCAATGTTGAGATAAAACAGCCTAATTGGGAAATGCCCACTAACTTTGTTACTGTACATGAGCGCTGCGTCCTGCCGACATGGCTGCAGCTCGCTCCGCTCTTTCCTTCTCCTCTGACTCATGGTGCTGATTTTCTGCGGCTGCACTAAATCACACTAAACGTCTTTTAGAGATGATAGAAACAGCAAAACAACAGTTATGAAGGTCATAACAATTTCCAGTAGGTTTTACAGTTTTAATTATTGCAATGTTATTCTGAGATGTTTGCAGTTTTTTTTCTTTTTTCACTTGAAATCATGTGAGACTAGTTGTGATAAAAGTCTCTGAATATTAAAACAATGTTGTATATGTATGAAAATAAAAGCAGATATGCAGACTTTGTCTCTGGCACAGGGCGCAGAGCTGACTGAATATCCTGAGAAAGACTTTCTTCTCTTTAGGAGAAAGTAGGCTTCTTCTTCTTCTTCTTTTTTTTTTTTTTAATTCTGACTTATCTCTGATCTCGACAAACCTCATCTAAACACAGTGCACTTACCAGGTTCAGACACGGTGCCTTTGGTTTTGGGGACATCTCACCATCTCTCTGGATACCTGAGGCCTCGGATGATGGACAAGTGTGTAAACATGAGGTCCATTTGGTCTGAGAGGCCTCGTAAGCTCCATTTGATTCCATTTCGAGCTCTGAAATATCAAAGTGTCCAGACGTACACTTTGCAGATCCGAGCGTAGGAGAGAGGGCCGTGCAAAAAGAAATACAGTGTTAGGACGGCACCAAATTGTGTTGGAATTTCAAAAGCAAATAAAGAAAAGCTGAGAAATCTATATTCTTCTAAAAAAAAGCTATAACCTAATTATTTTTTTAAAATTCCAATGACAATTATCTTTATGCTCCAGTGTGCAGATAATCCAAACTAGCTTCCTCTCTTCATCTGGAGCCGTGAACAAAATGAGATTTCATGTGGACACGAACTGTATAATGACATTGCTTCTTGCATGTAAAGGAAGAGCTCCTTTAGGTTCAAAATGGCTAAGGACCTCAGATATAGGGCCTAATGACATTTATGTGTAACATGACTTAGATTAACATGTGTGGGTCAGTGGAGCATCGCATAAAAGACAGCACTGTCATGTTAATCACAGCCACAGTGCCACCTTTTACCCTCCCACACCCTCAGCGTGTTCCTCCTGCAGCCGAGCTGTAGCTGCCAGCATTTATCAAACAGTCTGGCTGACCACTATAAAAAAAAAATACAATGTCTGCTAGAGGAGAGTATTTAAGATGTACACTCAGCGGGTATACGTTTCTCAAATCTCGTGACAAGCATGTCCTCTGCAGCCCGAGGCAGCAGAGCTCTCTTGAATTCACAAAACCCAGCTGAGTAAATGCATTCCAGAAATGCGGGCAAGAGGAAGAACGTCTGAGCTATGATCTCGCAGCCGCCCCAGGTAACAGTGTTTATATGAATATTGCATCAAGAGAGCAGAAGATGTATAAGATTATGGAGATGCTATTTGCTGAGGAATCAAAGCAGCCTATGAGTCTGTGTGGACGTCTTTGTGCCTGAAAGATCCTAGTTTCACAGTGAAATCTCAGCCTCTTCACACGAAAACAGGGCGCTTCTCCTTCATAAAATAAACACTTTATGGGAAATTATGGCTAAATACCTCGGCTGGAGACGTGTGCGTGTTATCCTGGCCCGTTCGGAGAGGAAGGAGTGGTGGTAAAAAGCAGGGAAATGGCAGAAAATAGCATCAACTCACTGTCCATACCATGACCGGCTCCCCTCGCTGCTCCCTGCTGTCCTAAACCCTTGTCCTCCGAGTCTGTCCTGGGCATGACCCTGCACAGGAAATCAGTTCAGCCTGTCGGGAGTCCCAGGTCCACAGGTCTCCCCCTCCTCTCCACCTCCTCCTCCTCCTGCAGCTATATGGGCACAGACAGCGTAGATAAAGGTGACCCTGCACTCTCACTGCTCACCATGTGGCCCTCAGGCTAAAGAGTCGCTTCCACCCCGACATCCTCTCGACCTGTCACAGCCCTGCGACACCTCACGGCCTCTTTCGTTCATGTCACGTACACCAATTTGTATTACATGACATGAGACCTTCTGTATAGTAACTTAGGAATGCGAGAATAAAGAATGAAGTGTGTCATGTGTGTAGAAAGGAACGTTTTCCAGCGACAGTCTGTGCGATCCCCAAACAAGCAACTTATTAAGATGGAAACCAACACAGAGAGTCAGCTACAAGGAAGCACAACTCTGCACTTCATACAAGCTGGCCGTCTTTGTCTGGTTATCGCCGCCCGAGGCCTTTCCTCTCACGTACAGGGTGGCGATTCAACCTGAGGTTTGCATTAGAATAGGAGAAGGATAGCTAATTTAATTACCCGCCATGAATGCACAGAGATGATCCCATATGCAGAGCCCGGGCTCCTCTCAGAGGCCTCCCTCACATCCTCCAGTTCTTGTCCAGAAGCTGCAGAGCCCAGCTGAGGCCGTGATTGACAGCCGCCGACCTCCGGGGTCAGCCGGCTGGAGAGGTGCATTCTGGGAAGCTTAAGGCTGGCCCGCTGCAGTGATGGGGGTTGAGGTTTTTTCTATTTTTTTTTTTGAAAAGGGGAAATGGGAAGTTGGGTTCGCTGTCCTCTGTCTGACCTCGTTGCGAGGCGTCATGGAGCACACTGGAGCCCGGCGAGTGTTAGCAGCGAGCCGGGATCCACAGCCACAACACGCAGGAGATGAGCGGGCCGCATATCTGCAACCAGGAGACAAAGACTTTACACTCAACAACGCTGCACATGCGAGATCTGCTCAGAGTGTTACTGCATGAAAGAAATATTTTCCACACAGCTGTGCAGGAGTACGAAATGCCGAAAATGAAAAGTTGGTGCATTCTTTCTCTCTGCTGGAAAGATTGTGTCATAGATTAGCTAATCAATGAAGCCTCCAATGATCTTCAAACTAAAAGAGCTCCATTATGGACTCCATTAACAAGTGCTGCAGCATTTGCTCATTAAAATATGAAAACAGCATTTCCATGGTTGACTTTTAGCAACACATGCTTTTACGGTTTTAGAAATTGAGAGTACTTAGTTCCAATTTGAGACACAACTACCCTAAAGGCATGCACAACATTAATAAAGTTTATGAAATCTGAAAATTGATAGCTCACTGAGGCTCTTTTTTGTTTTTTGCTCCAATGCAGCAATAAAGCAAATTTATTAATATTAAATAAAGCAAAACCTCTTGTGCATGCCCAAGAAAGACACAAGTGTAACTCAGTGGTGATCCTGCAACAACAACAACCAAAAAATCTTCATCTTAACTTCACTAAAGCACAAAACAGAACCAGGGTTGTCATAGCAACCAGCTAAAAGGCCCATGCAGGTGCTGGTTTGAGCTCTCAGCAGTCTAATAGCAGCGTTTAACCTCTTTTATATCAGTTACAGAAAGGTGAATGAGGAGGTTTCCTCGAGCACAGTAGCTTCAGAGATGCTGCCTGTGTGCGGGAACATCGGCTTATGAAAGCTCAGTCTGTCGTGATAAATGCCTCTCTCGCTCCGACCGGTTTTAATGAAGGACAGACCGGTGCAGCCTCGCTCCTTACTCACAATCTGCAGGAATCCGTAAACATGCACCTTAGCAAAAACCATCTGGATGTATCAGCGAGGCCCCCGATACAACAAGACACACGCCAGAGCTATAAATATATAATCCCTAAATGTGTTTTAAAGCGGACGAGGGGGAAGCGGCCTGGATAGGCGGTGACGCATGCGTAACGGAGGAAAAATAGCCCGCAATTTCCTGTAAAACAAATTTAGGTCGTTGCTTTTGTCATCTGTCAGCATAAGTAGCTACATATCAATTTAATTTTTTTTATTGTTTAGATTACCCAGCCATATAGAAGTACTCATTTAATTCATCTGGCAACATTATTGAAGGCAATTACGCATCATCGCAGGTTAAAATAAACCAACATCGGATTAGAAATGGTCAATAAAGGCTATTTCCTTGAGGTGGAGGCATGTGTTTCTCTGGGCTGCTGATATTTGTTCGCTTTGACCGCTTTTGGCCAAGGTTTTAGAGGTAATTGAGGTAAGTTTATTTTTGGCAAAATAAAAAAATAGTGGAGGAAAAGTGGAAGAATGTCAGAATCTAACGCAGGACAAATTATGTGATCAGTCCAGCGGTGAGTAAAAGGCTCCAATGTGATTGATGCTGGTTTTGTTGGCTGTCTGTCCGTGACCCGCAGAGTCTCGGATTGAATTAGAAGTGATGACCAGCGATGAACAGCGAAGATCATGGGAGTTTCATTATCCAGAGGAGCCAGAAGACAGAAACCTCCACATGTCCAGCAGCGGTGAGTGGATGATTAAAAGTGTCCAAAAAAAAAAAGACAACACTTGTGTTCATCCTGGAAGAGGACGAACATGGAGTTATCTGATTTGAAGTTGACAACATTAACTTGCCCTTTAGAAAACATATTTAAAATGAGCGAAAAATGTATTATTCGTGGCGCAGCCTAATGAAAGAGAATTGAATTTAGCTGTTGTAAAATCTGCTGGTGATGCTTTAAATAGTTGCCGTATCGAAATTAAATCAACATAACGAGCTTAGACAGCACTTAATTGTTTGTCACTCATGTAGTTTTTAAATCCTGAAATCCAGCTGTTCATCGTCACTGAAGATTGGAGCTAGAAATGGAACCTACATTTATTTTTTAATGGCGTTTAAAGTGTGCGTAAAACTGGCAAACACTCCTTTTAACCAACATTATTAACACAGTCTTTCTTCATCATTTCTGTCAAATTATATAAAAACAAAATTAAATAAAAGCAGAAGATTGACTTTAAATAATTAATTTTGAATAGATGTCCATTTTCTCCAGCTCCGGATTAGTTACAGATTAATTTTGGATTCATTTTTCGAAATTAAGTTAATAACGTTTTTTTGTTTTTTGCTTTTTTTGGTTTTTTATAACCGGTGATTGGAAGAAATCGTTTCTTTTTCTTTTTTAATGTTGTCTGCAGGACTGGAAATCCCCCCAAAAAACATGTCACAGTCTTCAGCCTCACCCTTCCACTGCGCAATAATGATTTGGAGCAAGACGGACGAAAAACAATAGATGTTGTGAAAAATATAAAATCGACACATGAAATGTGCTTGTGAAAAACTCAACAATTAAAAAACATTTTGGGTACTAATATTACCACGAGGTGACAGGTGCCAGTGGCAGAAATTAGAGTTAAATAGGAACCTGTAGCTGAACGAAATACAAAATAAACGAGATATTTCCAGCCCTGCGTTCACAAAGAGCTGAAACACTGCGACACATAAAAACCTCCTCTCTGCAAAAAAAAAGAATGAAGAGAGATGTTTCTGTCTTTTCTTTTACGCAATATCACAGACTGAGCATGCACAACTGTGTTTTACAGAAACAACTGTTTATCTAATTGAAGCCTGAATTTACAGTTTGCTGTAAAACTCCAGACTTTAGACGAGGAACATTTCTGAACTCTCAAATGAGTTTTGTTAAGATACTGTTAATCACTCGTCTTATTCTTGGAGA